AACCTACCATAAAAATTATAGACCCTTAATTTTTTTGTAAGTGGTCAAACTTACAAAATCAGGGGATCAAATAATTATTTTCCCCACTGTACACATCCTGGATTGAGATTTTGAATACTTCGTTGTATGTGCATTATGCATTTAATGTCTATTTTGTCTGTTGTCTTTTAGCCCTCTTGGCTGTCTTTGTTCCTGTCCGTCAGAGAGCTGGTGCTGGAAGCCTGCAGGAGGCGCGGCGTCCCCGTCCACAGCCGACCGCGCAGACTACAGCGCAGAGATGGTGCGCATCACTGTGAATTTCCTTTTCCATTTCATATCCATCACTTTACTTATTATCAACTCATTTTTACATTGTCTGCACTAGTTTTTGAGGAAAATGTGTAATTCTACAAAATAGATTTAAATATAGTCAATTGTAACAGAGCTGAGAGTATTCAGATTGGCCATAATTATTTCATAAACAAACAGACACAGGGGCTGTTGCATTCGCACAAATGTTTGAGTGATGGACGTTTGAATTATTTCGATATCAATAGAGCTTTTCGAAAGCACTGATTCCTTGTAGACCTGGTTGTGACTCAAATGGTGAGATGTCCAGGTTACTTGCAGATAAACAATAGCCAGCAGTCTTCATAACACCCTCCATCTGGTCTGTGACGGTGGAAACTATCTGTTCGGCAGCACACTATTTTAGATCGAGGGGATGCTTTGTCATAAGAATAATTCTGGGTTACTTTTTAAAGGTTCCAATCTATATTAAGTAACATAACAAGACAACAAAATTATAATGTGGTAGCTGTTACAAACTTGAGCCCCTTTTGCTTTTTACCGCCATCCAGAATTTTGTGGTTCTGTCCTAAGATTAAAAGAGACCTTATGGTAAAATTGTCTCCATCTGGTTTCCCTCTTGATGTCGACCAGCTCATGAACTGCTCATGTTGTGTCTTAGAGGCAAATAGGCTGCTTTTTGTCATCAGATATTTTAGTGCAATTATGGCGGAGTGGCCCAGTGCCTATGTTTTGATTCTCAAGATTTATCCTGTTAGATTGATGTTCTTTTGTTTTTGGTCGTCTGGAATTCCAGCTAGTTTATTTTGTCATATGCTGTTCTTAGAGCATCTGTTGTGCACAACATGTTTTCAAGCTTTTTGTAAGAAGTGCTTGTTATCCCTTTCAAAACACGGTATGGGATTTTTTTCTTCTTCAACAAATGGTAAGTAAAGGGAGATAGTGATTTGAACCATGTTAGTATTTTATAAACAAAAATCATTAAATTATAAAAAAAAAATCTGTTTATTAATAGTTAGTAGGGTAGTTGTTAAGTTTATGTGTGTTCTAGGATTAAGGGATCATAGATATGGTCATGCAGAATAATCCATTAATATGTACTTTATAAGCCCTAATGGTAACACTTTAGAATAGGGGGTCCAGAATAATGCATTAGTTAAGCATTAATTAATGGTTAACTTGTTCACAATTAAGCATTAGTTGAGCACAAACACACTAGTAATTAATGATTAACTTACCATTTAGGGAGCTCAGATTATGCATTAGTTAAGCATAAATAAAGTAGTAGTTAATGATTAACTTGTTCACAATAATGCATTAGATAAGCATGACCACACACTTAATTAATGATTAACTGAACAAATAATAAGGGTATATTAGCCATTGTTTACAATTTATTAAACATTTTATAGACAAATTTATGCTATCAATAAACAAAAATAAGCTAGTAATTAACAATTAACTGAATGTACAGTAAACACATTTGAGCCATTATTTACAACTTAATAAGCCATATATTATTTGTGTGTAGTGATGTAAATATATTTCTATAATTCACCATTTATTAAGTTGACTGAACAATAAGCTAGTAATTATATTTAATTACTGCTGAAATAAGCCAATAATTATGGCTAAACTGCCATTAATACAGTACTAATAAAGGCAATTTGACCCCCTATTCTAAAGTGAAAGTTATATCCACATTAATTACGGCACTTATTGAGTGATATTCAAGTTTATTGACCATAATAAGCCAATAATTATGGCTAAACTGCCATTAATACAGTACTAATAAAGGCAATTTGACCCCCTAGTCTAAAGTGAAAGTTATATCCACATTAATTATGGCACTTATTGAGTGATATTCAAGTTTATTGACCATAATAAGCCAATAATTATGGCTAAACTGCCATTAATACAGTACTAATAAAGGCAATTTGACCCCCTATTCTAAAGTGAAAGTTATATCCACATTAATTATGGCACTTATTGAGTGATATTCAAGTTTATTGACCATAATAAGCCAATAATTATGGCTAAACTGCCATTAATACAGTACTAATATTCAAGTTTATTGACTAGAATTAGCCAATAATTATGGCTTAACTGCCATTAATACAGTACTAATAAAGGCAATTTGACCCCCTATTCTAAAGTGAAAGTTATATCCACATTAATTACGGCACTTATTGAGTGATATTCAAGTTTATTGACCATAATAAGCCAATAATTATGGCTAAACTGCCATTAATACAGTACTAATAAAGGCAATTTGACCCCCTATTCTAAAGTGAAAGTTATATCCACATTAATTACGGCACTTATTGAGTGATATTCAAGTTTATTGACCATAATAAGCCAATAATTATGGCTAAACTGGCATTAATACAGTACTAATATTCAAGTTTATTGACTAGAATTAGCCAATAATTATGGCTTAACTGCCATTAATACAGTACTAATAAAGGCAATTTGACCCCCTATTCTAAAGTGAAAGTTATATCCACATTAATTACGGCACTTATTGAGTGATATTCAAGTTTATTGACCATAATAAGCCAATAATTATGGCTAAACTGCCATTAATACAGTACTAATAAAGGCAATTTGACCCCCTATTCTAAAGTGAAAGTTATATCCACATTAATTACGGCACTTATTGAGTGATAATCAAGTTTATTGACCATAATAAGCCAATAATTATGGCTAAACTGCCATTAATACAGTACTAATAAAGGCAATTTGACCCCCTATTCTAAAGTGAAAGTTATATCCACATTAATTACGGCACTTATTGAGTGATATTCAAGTTTATTGACCATAATAAGCCAATAATTATGGCTAAACTGGCATTAATACAGTACTAATATTCAAGTTTATTGACTAGAATTAGCCAATAATTATGGCTTAACTGCCATTAATACAGTACTAATAAAGGCAATTTGACCCCCTATTCTAAAGTGAAAGTTATATCCACATTAATTACGGCACTTATTGAGTGATATTCAAGTTTATTGACCATAATAAGCCAATAATTATGGCTAAACTGCCATTAATACAGTACTAATAAAGGCAATTTGACCCCCTATTCTAAAGTGAAAGTTATATCCACATTAATTACGGCACTTATTGAGTGATATTCAAGTTTATTGACCATAATAAGCCAATAATTATGGCTAAACTGCCATTAATACAGTACTAATAAAGGCAATTTGACCCCCTATTCTAAAGTGAAAGTTATATCCACATTAATTACGGCACTTATTGAGTGATATTCAAGTTTATTGACCATAATAAGCCAATAATTATGGCTAAACTGCCATTAATACAGTACTAATAAAGGCAATTTGACCCCCTATTCTAAAGTGAAAGTTATATCCACATTAATTACGGCACTTATTGAGTGATATTCAAGTTTATTGACCATAATAAGCCAATAATTATGGCTAAACTGGCATTAATACAGTACTAATATTCAAGTTTATTGACTAGAATTAGCCAATAATTATGGCTTAACTGCCATTAATACAGTACTAATAAAGGCAATTTGACCCCCTATTCTAAAGTGAAAGTTATATCCACATTAATTATGGCACTTATTGAGTGATATTCAAGTTTATTGACCATAATAAGCCAATAATTATGGCTAAACTGCCATTAATACAGTACTAATAAAGGCAATTTGACCCCCTATTCTAAAGTGAAAGTTATATCCACATTTGAACAAGTTAACCATTAATTAATGCTTAACTAATGCATTATTCTGGACCCCTATTCTAAAGTGTTACCGTACTAATAAACATATGCTTGCTAATAAGCAACTAGTTAATAGTGAGAATTGGTCCTTAAAATGAAGTGTTACAATATTTTACATACAAATTGAAATTGAAAATTTGGTGACAGGGTTGACTACAAAATATTGGACACAGATCAATATTTTAGGTCATCCGAATAGTTTATTATTTTAATTGCTAAATATAGTCAAAAAGTTCACAAAATCTGAGGGACCATTTTAGAAGGGGATTCAAACATGTGATGCGTGTAATCTAGCTAACTATCTAGTATTGCTTGCAACAAAAAACATGTCATTTATGTCTCTAATGCTTAAAAAAGTAGTGGAACACCAAATTCTAAAGAGTGAAAATTCAAAACAGAAACAAAATCCTCTCATCTCTCAATTGCCCTGAAAACCAAAACGAGACTGTTTCTGACAGTTTGTCATTCTTTTCTACTTCCTAAACTTCACCTCTTTTCCCTGAAATTAATTCACACCAATATTTTTCTGTCACTAAGAGGATTGTTTTGAATCTCAGATATCTTTAAGTGTCAATTGCAAGATGCTGTTGGGGCTAGACGTATGAAGGTCTGGTTGTAATTTATGTGTGTTTGAGGCAGTAATCATTGCCTCAGTCTTTTGGGGACATGGTGGTGAAGTTCAGGCTTCAGAATTGTACGTTTTATGTTTCCAGTGATGCTCCACTGCAAATACTAATTGTGAGAGAGGCAAGCCTGCATTTAAAACTGCATTTAA